CTCTCTCTCTCTCTCTCTCTCCCTCTCTCTCTCTCTCCCTCCCTCTCTCTCTCTCTCTCTGTCTGTCTTTCTCTCGCCATCTCCACCGACCTGAAAAGTCCTGCCATGCTGGGTTTGCGTAGAGCGTCAGAACGCCCACACATGTACACGATCTGTGGTCGGGATTCGCGCGGTGGCGATTACATTGGGTTGAGTCGCCGCGAACGAGCAGGATCGTGTGATCTAACAGGGATTTCTCTCCGTGAGTCCGATGTGTGATCGGGGTGACGTTCGGGGCCATTTGATCGTGACGTTTGATTGGGCCGTGTGATGAAGGCGGAGATCGCCTCTCTGTCGCGCTCTCTCTCTCTCGCTATCTATTTATCTCTCTTTCTGTCTTTTATCTCGTTCGTTTTTCTGCACTTGTCTGTGTCGCTCGAACAAAGTTTGCGAACGTAAATGACAAGCGCAGACAAACGAATGAGACAGAACTAACAGCGTCGTGTTCCACCACCATCATCATCCTCGTCGTTAGTTTTCTATCAGTGCCTTTAGTTCCATTGGCGACCACTCGCCCCGATCAGATGGCACACTCACACGTCCACGTGGCGGGTCCTGAACAAGTGTGGGCACGCTGATGGATGCGGGGCTCTATGCGGCAACAGAATGTTGTCGAATAGAACCCCGCACCCATCAGCATGGCCACACATGATCAGGACTTGACCCGTGGACATGTGTGTCGTCGTGTTCAACTACCATCTTCGTCCCCGTCGTTAGTTTGTCTTCAGTGCCTCTATTTCGTTCGTCTTATGCGCTGGCCTATTTCTTTCCCGAACTTACCTCGGGGTGCATTTGCGGATCTCGTTCCATTCGCGACCACTCGCCCCGATCAGTGCGGCCACGCATGTTCCGGACTTGACATGTGGACGTTTGAGTGTGTCATCTGATCGGGGCGAGATGAAGGAGTTTCGGGAGCAAGAATGCATGCGTTTCATTGGCGATCACTCGCCCCGATCAGACGGCACACTTAGACGTCCACGTGTCACGTCCTGAACAAGCGTGGCCACGCTGATGGATGCGGTGCTCTATGCGACAACAGAATGTTGTCGAATTGAGCCCCACATCCATCAGCGTGGCCACGCATGTTCAGTAGCTGACACGTGGACGTGCGAGTGTGCCATCTGATCGAAGCGAGTGGTCACCAACGAAACGGGACCTGCGAATGTAGCCCGAGAATATTGTGACACGCCCTAGAGATTGTGTCGCCACTTCAGAAGTTTTCTTGAAGTGTTACTCGCTTGTCGTCAATTTGTTGTCTCTCTCACGAACTGCGATATAAGGATTTTAGTCGTATCTTGTCGAGCACTAGAACATGGTTTCTCACGAAACGTGTCTCTTCTGGATTGCACATGGACTTTCTTCTTGCTGAATTAATTTTTATTGCGTTCGGTTTGTTTATTCGTTTTCCCGCGTAAGTCGCGTCGTGCAGTTCACTCGGCGTTCGATTCTGTATTCGTAAATTGTCCTCCACATTCGTCGAATCTTTCACATTTTTCGTCACTCTTCCTTTCGCCGACATGAACAATTTTTTCTTATATTTCTTTTGCGCAGTTTTGTTACTGGGTCACATTGCGAATTCTGAAATGGACAACACCATCCGCAGGATCTGCACATGGAGAGACAGAGAGATAAAGACAGGCTCTCTCGCTGCCCATGCTCTATCGATCTTAGTCTCCATTCCGTGTCTGTGCGTGTTTTCTGCCTTTCTCCAATCTTCGTGCATCGCAGACAGTCGCTCAACCGATCTTAGGTTGGTCCCCCCTGAGTGCAATCACAGATCAGTAATCCGAAGACTGTTACGACACATCCGAAGACACAGGACGCGAACGTGAATTCACATCTTTAAACCTTATCAAACCTCGCGTCAGCCGAACGCCGCGAGGAACCCTTCCGCTGACATGGACACAGGACAGGACACGGAGCGATCAGATGCTCATAGGGTATTGTCGACGGCGACATGTCTGACCAATCAGGAGGACGACAGCCCACCCTGTCCATACCATCTTGTGGTGGTGCAACAACTAACGTATACGAGCCACCCTTGTTAATTTCGGTTGCATCCGAGCCACAACCCACTAAAACTCACAGGGCGACCGCTAACCGAGGCACCTCGGCGAAGTTCGGATTAATCCGAACCACACCGACGACAAATTTGGATTTGTCACATGCTCAGACAGTATTTACGGCGTCGCACGTTCTGATAAACGTGAACGACGAAAGCACACGCTGTCAACAGACCGTGTCGTCCATCCACCGGTCCCCGTCTCGGATTAATCCGAACCACACCTCCGACAAGATAGGGTCCACCCTATGCTCACAGGTCATTGAGAAAAACACGCCATGCCGATGGCCTCCTCTTGTGGTCGGCAGTTTCTGTCTCGCATTGTGCTAATTCGGATGCATCCGAGTCACAACACCAGACTTTCGACTCTGCGCAGTTCGGATGTGTCCGAACTCCCCCGCTGTCTTCGTCTTCGACCATTCGCTCTACGAGAGGCAGTCTGATGACGAAGGTTAACGATGCCTCGGATTCATGCAACTAAAACGAGTCGAGATTGTGGCGCTCGGGTGGAAGAAAGACGAGCTCGAAACTTGTGCTGCGACTACAGCAAACGTGTCTGTTGTTTGGATTGGGCGAGCAACAACCAACTAGAACTCACGAGGACGACGACATCCCCCGTGATGACGCACAGATTATAATGACACACTACGACAATCGTGGGGAGGTCCGGTGTGTGGTGGGGCGATAACAAACCGAAGCGCCTCGGCGAAGTCGGATTAATTCGAACCACACCGATGGCTTGTTCGGATGTACAACATGCGCAGAGGGTATTGACGACATCGCACGGTCTGACTAACTTGTACGACGAAAGCACACCGTGTCGGCGCAGCCTGACATGGTCGCACGTATGGGGACAGGCCCTGTCGAAGTCGGATAAATCCGACCCACACCCGTCTTACACGCTCAAGGACGAAGACACACTGTGCGAAATTCGGGTGGACCCAATGAAAGCAAGGGAATAACGGAAGCTTGGACGACTGGATGGGCGTCAACAGATTTTGGGGTCCATCCGCCGGTCCCCGTCTCGGATTAATCTGAGCCACATTTGCGGAGTTCATGTTCAACCGAACCAAACCTCTGGCAGGATAGGGTTAACCCAGTGCTCACAGGTCGGTGACGAAAACACGTGCTATATATGGTGCCCTCTTGTGGACGACCGTCTCTGGACCGCGCTGTTCGAATTCGGATGCATCCGAGTCACAACCGTTACCGACTCAGAAGGACAAGAAAACTCGAGTTCGGTTTGGTCCGGGCCGCAAGAGGGTGGTCCACACCACTTTGGAGCTCGGATGCATCCGAACTACAGCAGCGAACTTTACAATCCGCTTGTCGACTTCGAATGACACCGTATCACCATGGGGTGCTCGTCTTCATCTGCTGTGTCAGCGTTCTAGTGCCTTCTTGCTAGGTATTGCTTTTCCCGGTGCTGGTGCCTATGCGACGTCGGTTTTTCGACTGCGCCTGCTTCGGATGTATCCGATCTATCCCGTGGTCTTCGTTTTCGACCATTCGTTCTCTTAAGAGCATTGTGACGAGGATGGCTCACGATGCCTCGGACTCGTCCGAAACGTGCACGCGTGGGGACCACTGTCGTCTAACTATGACTGAACTTCGTTGTTTTGGGGTCCGGGTGACCGATAACAGAATACGTACTGTGGGTTGTGGTTGATGTTGGGACGTGCTGACTGTTCTGAGTGCATGTGGGTTCATTTCCTCCGTGTGTTTCAGGGAATGGCTACACACGGACGAAGCCGCTCCGCTGGTGAGCGTCGAGGGACCACGTCTTTGCTGGCAAGGGAAACGAGTCGGGGAGGTGGCGGTGGGGAGGAAGAACGACGGGCTCAAAACTTGTGGTGCGACTACAGCAAACGTGTCTGGTATTTGGACTGGGCGAGCCAGGACGGCTCCGACCCGTTGCAACCACCATGCGGGCCACTCTTGTTCTTCACTGTTCGCGCCGACAGAAGGCGTCTCACAGGGTCCATCGTCCAGTGGGTTGACGTTGGCGAATACAATTTCAAGTTTATGTTGAAGAAGCATTACAGAAGTGATGGTTTCATCGACGACATCGCAAAAGGATGCAAGGTTGCCAGGAGGATGTTCGGCAAGTACGGCCGGCGTGCCATGTCTTTGTCGTACTTTGTCCCGCTAGCGCCGGGGCACGACGAGGCCGTTCACGTGACAAACGTCCTCGAGGTCTGGGCGAGATCTGGTACCTCTGTCAGTGTCGTGGACGTCGGACCTGGGACATCGATCACTGGTCCTGTTGGGTTTGCGGGAGGAGAGTGCTCTGAAAGGGGGATGGGAGGTCAGGGTGGCCTGCCACCTACGCCTCCTGATCAAGAGGTGGGCATGTCAGACGACTCGGAGGACGACCATCCACGTGCTCCTTCGAAACCGGGCTTGCATGGATCTCGCCGCCAAGGTTTGCTTGGGAAGTCGACGCCACGTGGAGGCGGCGATGGCGAACGGTTGTGACAGGGCTGAGAATCGACGACTCCTCGTGGTCTGGTCGAAAGGATTGGTTTGTTCGTTCGTGGCATGCAGGTGGCCGAGGTTTCGTCTGGAGATCGCGCGGGTGGTCCGCAGGTTCGAGAGGTGCGTGGGTCAGATGAGACGACTCGCCGGGCCCGACCTGCGCCTGCGCAACTGCAGACGTAGTTGAGCCTGGAACGAGAAGCAAGTGGGAACATCGCCGGTGAGGAGGAGGTGTCCGAGCAGGGGCTGTTCCGTGAGAGATCGGTTAAAAAGACTCAGTCGCGAGGAAAGCGCAACTTGCCGGATGAGGAAGAGCGAGAGGGAGTAGGTGCTTTGAAAAGGCAGAGAAAGGTACGAGGGAGTGCTCGGACGCCAACAACACGAGAGGGCGGTTCCGTTGAGAAGAGGAAAACGGTTGGAGGTGGGGATGAAACGCCAAAAGACTCATCGACACAGCGAAGAACCGGTGAGTCTTCCGGAAAACGGTCGAAATCATCGAGGGGGAAGAAAGCAGATGAGGGCGACAGCGGGGAGGGAGATGACGACGTGGACATTAACCTCAACGCCTTCAACCTCGACAATGCGTTCTTCCTCGAGATGCAGACAGGGGTGCAGAAGGACGTCTTGTTGCACATCCATCCCGAAAGAATATTAGCTATTCGAGACTGGGAAGACGCGTACAACCACTGATCCTTGGACGAGTTCCTCGTTGATACCATCGCCTCGGCTATGATCGACTGCTACGAACGTAAAGACATGAGATACACGAAGCCCATTTTCGTTCTCGCTCCGATCGTCGTGCCTCCAGAGAACAGCGAGCCTGCTGTGCGCGTGCTGCCAGCTGACTTCGACAGCTCACAACCAGAGAAATACTGGTATTATCCTGTGTGTGGACAGCATAACGCGAGGGCGGCGATGAAGGTGAAAAACCATCCCGTGTTTGAGTACTACAACTTATGTAAATGGTCGTTCAGACCAATCTATTTCCTTGACGACGAGTTCGACGGCTACACCCATGTCAGCTGCGAAGACAACATTAAAGATAAGAAGAATCCTTGCGCTTGCAGGTTTTGTCTATGCGGGACATTCGCAATATCTGGAAAATTAAGGGCAAACCGCGTGTGGTGCTCGGCAATGCGTCGAAGAAAAAGGACGAGGTGCGAAAGTGGGTGCAGTTCATGGCGTTGGCTATGAAGACGACACCGTACACGCCTTTGTGGAACCTGTCAATGGAAGAAAAGAAAAGAAAGGAATGGGCTGAGAAACTTCGATACTACCTTCCGCTGGCCATGGCAGATGACTCCGTCTTCACTTTGGGAGAGAAGTTCTACGAGGAGTGGTCAAAAGGGAAACTCCTTGCTTCCGACAGCCGGCGTTGGACTGAAAAGCCGCCCACCCATGAGGAGGTGGCCAAGCCAGGACTCTCCACTGTGACTGACAGCCAGGGGCTGAAGAAACACGTCTGGTACGTGAAGGTGGACGACCCGTCGTTGAAAAAGGGCAAGGGGAAGCCAAAGAAAGGCGCAGAGGAGAAAACTTTCTACATCCAAGTTCCTGAGCCGGATGTCCACTGCTGGAAGGAATTGGTGGACTTGACGGATCGCGAGAAGAAAAGACTGTTGAACGGCGTCTTGAACCTTAACGTCGTGTGGGTTCAAACGAGTAGCAAGAAGTCGGCCTAGCAGGGGAAGTTCAGTGTCAAGGAGATGGTCGACATAATAAAAATGGACCGGATTATGCTGAGGCTGTGGCACTGGGTGGAGTTCGAGTACGAGGAAATAGATAAGCGGGAGTGGAATGCCAACTCCACGTTCTTCAGGTCCAAGAAGCAACTGTTCGAAGAGTTCAAGGACAAAGGTCTCGACGACAAGCTTTGGAACGAGAGCAGAAAATTTTTCACGGACTCCACGTACGTCAACAAGTGCCCTCAGTTTCTCGGGTGTCAACACGACAACAACATCAAGAGAACGGCGGCCCTCATCAATGTCCAACATTTCCCGGTGGAGTGGAAACGTGTCGTCCTTTCGGTGATCACGGGAAATCGCGCCAAAGGCAAAAAAAACCCTCGGGGCGTTGATGAATGCATCAACATTATGTGGACGAGGACAAGCGCCTTGACGACACTGACCCAGTTTAACATCGACCCATTGAGTGCAATAGATCATAAGGAGGCGCTGGGAAAACTAGGGCATCAGCTACGCTCCCACACTTGCGTGCTCGACTTGTGCGGAACTGTGGACCGTGCGCAATGGAACTCTGGGGCATTCGCGTCTCTGAGTGAGTTGCTGGGCTTCGTTTGTCAGGACTACTGGACATTGGTGGTATTCGTTCCCTGCCTGTGGAACCTCTCCTTCATGACATCTTTGTCTGCGCTTGGGGCTACCCGATGCTACACGGGGAAGTGGGTTCGGAAGACGGCAGCGAAGAAGACGCATCAGTTCGGAAACATCGTCTGGGAGGAGCCGGATGTGATCCACATCCTTTTCAAAGGCGAGGATCCTCGACTACTGACTCACCCGGTGTACGAGGGAGCTGTTGCTGAAGACGACGACGCCGCTCTCCGTAGAAAACAAAAAGTGACACCCACGGATATGGAGGAGAAGTCTTTCAAGTCCTTGATTTTCGCGGACATCGGAAACCTCACCCAGAGGGGGGCTTTGTACAAGGACGGCGAGCGGAATCCGAATCAGTTATGCAATCAGCTTCTTTTCTTCTGTGGTGTGGCAGATGCCGTGCTGTTCTTGGGCAAGCCGCACACGCAGGTGGTGTGGAGTCTGCTTCAGCAGGGAAGGCACGTCTTGGCCGTGGATGGGGACACAACGCAGCTCAAATACACCGTGCAGTATGTCACCCATGAAGTGTCGTCCAAGGCTTACCCATGCGATTTCCACCATGTCATGGTCGAGCCCGTTTATGACCCGAACAAGGACATGTTCTTCAAGTTGACTCCGAAGAAAAGGCGTCAGGTCTACTCCTTCCTTTACGGCGAACAAGCAAGGTTGAGATTTGACCCGCAGTACGTGGTGCGGAAGGAAGTCGCCATTGCGGTCCTCCAGGGCTACCACGGAGCGAGTCGGGCCGGCGCTGTGAGCTTCATTAAGAGGTTGGAATATGTGTTTTTTAACGAGAATGTTGTCGATCGGGCCCACTTCACTTTGGATAACTACAAGCTGGCATTCGGTGAGGAGGACGACTTCAATATCGAGAATGAGCAGGAGGAGAGCATTGAGGACGACCTCTTCGATTTGGACGGGCAATTGGCCATCTTCAATGCCAAAGTTTCTGAGTCGCCGTCAGTATGCAAACCGGGGACACCTCTCGCTACAACCACCTCGGGCGRCCCTACGCCCGTGTCCTCCTCAGCGCCTGTCAAGAGGGGTGGGTTGTCCTGTCTGAGGAGTTCGCCGGGGGAGCCTATTCGTCTCACACCGCAGCCCGAATGTCTTCGACCTGGCCATCCAGTTCCTCCGGACCATCCGCATCTCAAGGCTCCTGCTACTCCCTTCCACATGGGCGACAAACACACCTTCTCCACAGCCGAAGATTGGGGCCATGATATCGTGTGGCACCCAAACCATTTCCAGCCAGTCCTTCTCGACGGCAAATGGGCAGTGGCTGTGAGGGACGTAAGTGGAGGGTGGATATATGACGATCGTTGGGATCTCGAGACATTCAAATCTCGCGCCTACGATGCGGTTTTGGAGAGGTTAAGTGAGATCAATTGACGAAGTAAGGACGACCCTGCTCTGCGCGAATACGGGGACACACTGTTCGATTTATTGCAGTCAAATAAATGACTGGAAGTGTCCTCCGCGTTCTACGCCCTTCCTTCAAGCCCGTCAATTAAGCAAGTGAGTTGGGAGTTGCCTGCGGGCACCCCGCCGGCAGGAGTTGTGAAGCGCAAGTCTCGCGGAAAGGACGGCGAAGGGGATGGTGAAGGCGGCGAGCAACAAGGTAGCGGAGGTGGAAGTGAACAGCGTTTAACGAAACAGCGGTCGTCGGGGCACGCAGGCGGCGGAGAGGGGAAAAAGGGAAGCTGGGAGAAGAAAAAACCTCGCAGCGGAGAGAAGACAAAGCATCACACAGGAGACGGCAGGGGTCCGATGTCGACCGCGATGAGGACGGTGGAGGACTATCCGGGCCAGGAGTCCGGATGAAAATGCTAAGTACCGCCGCGACAAGCGCTGGCGGGAGGTGCCGAGGGGAAAATAGGGGGGAATAGTGGTAATGAGGGGACCGACCAGCAGTCCGGGTTATTCCGGATCAGCCAGGGCAAAGAAAAACAAAGTCCCAAGGGCCCGCATGAAGAAATGGCTGGCTGGAGAAAATCGGAGCAAGAGGGTTTCAAGCTGGGAGCGGGGACAGCCAAAAGAAGCCCCCGAGGACCATGGGGGTGCCACTGTTGCAATCCGAAGTGCAACGGCCACCTGCCGGCTGCGAAATCAGACCTTAGGAAAGGTCCAACAACTATAAAGAGGAGAAATAGTTGTCGGACACTTATCCCAACAGTAATGAAAGAGAAAGGAGAGAAAAAGGGGGAGAATGAGATAAAGGAGGAGGAATGGGTGAAGGAAAATGTGCCGCCAGGTTGGGACTGCAGCGGTAGGGACTGACACGTCTCAATGATGACCTCATCCCTCCTAGATCCTAGGAGGGCAGTCCGGACTGCAGAGATAAGGTCCTTGGGGCATTATCTCTACAATATTTGAATTTAAGCAACAAAAATAAAGAAAAATGCTGATGTGAGTTGGCCGACTCATTTTTGGGTCTTGGATCTGAAATCTGATCTTGCGGAGGAGAAGATCAAGCCGTTTTTTGTGGGCTGACACAAAACGGCTAGCTCCGGAATGAGTTGGCAGCAAAATGGAGGGAAAACAAAGAGAGGAACAAAACAAAACTGCGTATTTGGGCCAAGGATTGGGCCAGATACACCAAAAAAATTGAAAATTAAAGTAAAAGGCTCAAATATGGGCCAAGGGGAGCTTGGGGCTAGCTCGGAATGATGAGAACCATGGATCTTAGCCAAATCCAAGGCTGAGATTGGAGCCACCACTTGAAAAAATGCAACGGCCTACCCAAAAGAGGCCTAGACAAGGAAAAAGACGAAAAATGGGCCTTTAGGCCCTCAAAATTCCATAAAGGCAGCATTTTGGGTAATGGTACCCCAAAAGGCAGCTCCTTTCGAAGTAAAAAGAGGCCGGGGTAGGCCAAGGGGCAGTCCGAGGTGGTACTTGCCCTTCGGCCTGCATATTCCTGGCCAAAATGGAGCCCAGGTACCTCCAGGGAGGCCAAAGCCTGAAATTTGGCCTTGGGGGTACCTCGGTCCACCTAAGGGCACTTGGAGAGGCCTAGAGGTTGGGCGGTGCACCAGTTTCAGCCTACATAAGCTGAGGGTGCAGCCGCCACTCTCATTTCAGCATGAGAGGAGCCCATGCTGCCAAAATGAGTCAATGAGAGAAGTCATAGTGAAGTGGAGCAAGGAAGTGAGAGTCGGAGCTAGCGTGGAGCCTGGCTATGGTGATAGGGCTGAAGAAGAAGTCTAGAGGCTAGGAGGAAGCAAGGAGAGTGGTCCGCCATAGCCCTCAGGCTGTGAGGTAGGAGGAGAGGATGAAAGGGGTCCCCTTAGCCCTTCTAGAGGGAAGGACTCAAAAGCCTTAGAGGTAGGAGTCTGTCATAACTTGAGAGGGGTTGTGAGAGAAGGAGGAGAGAACTTGGAGGTGGGGAAGTCATACCCAAGGAGATAGAACCAAGCTTGGGATTCCATTGCCAAAAGACCAGCAAGAGGTGAGTGAGAAAGGAGGGAGCTCTCTCCTCCTTCTCCCTTCTTCTTCTTCCTCTTCTTCCTCTTCCTCTTCTTCTTCTTCCCCTTCCCCCTCTCCTCCTTCTCCTTCTTTTTCCTCTTCTTCCTTTCCTCCTTCCTCTCTATCCCTCTTCTTCCCCTCCTTCTTCCTCTCTCTCTTTTTCATTTTCTCTCCCCTCTCAATCTTGTGTTTTTACTGATTTGGATGATTGTGTGAGTTATGATTCATCTTGGGATACGTCGGTGATATTTCCTCTAGTGTAGATGCTCTCAAACTTGTGTTTTTACTGATCTTGATGCTTGTGTGTGTTGCGCTTCACCTTGGGATACTTCGGTGATCTTTCCTTTAGTGTAGATGCTCTCAAACTTGTGTTTTTGCTGACTTTGATGCTTGTGAATGTTGCGATTCATCTTGGGATACTTCGGTGAACTTTCCCCTAGTGTTGATGCTTTCAATCTTGTGTTTTTACTGATCTTGATGCTTGTGTGCGTTGCGATTCAT